TATAATGTTGATTTTTTTTTTTTTTGAGATTCCTTGTATACAAACATGCTCGTAGTTTTTGCATATAACTTTAGACATGCAATTGACAGAGCAAACGAAATCCAATTGCTCGACGAGAAGTATTCAATGGTAGATCACGTACTTGAATTAGACTTGAGACGACACCAGAATTAGATCAATAATTGAACAAATTAAATTATTTTGAACGAAAAATTGAGTAGGAAAACAAAATTTAGTGGAGTAACAAATTAGTGGTCAGGACCGTCTTGATAAGACAAATCCAACGGTGAGTCGCCCTACTAGAATACAAGAGGAAATAATGCCCCTAAATAGCGAAATACAAATATGGACTAAAATGATTTTTGACGATAAATTGAACAGACATAAAAACTCCAACTGGTAACAAATTTGGTGAGTACGACTAATTCGACAAGAAAAATCCGATAGTGGGTCGCCACCTAAACCGGATGTTAGATGGCGACAAAATTAAACCAAATAGAAAACAATACAAATCTTTTTGGATGAAAAAATTGAGTGAGCAAACGAATTATGATTGAGCTAAAAAATTAATAGGTACCACTTGAAACGGACATAATACGATGTTTTAATTAGGCCGAAGAAGAAACAACAAATTTATCCTACCACTATCATTTTTAACAGATTTTTTATTATATTCATATTGTATTATAAAAATGTGTGTTTTGCATTAGCGCTATAAAAATGCATTAGCCTTAATCACTAGTTGGTCATCCATAGGTTGATTTTTGTTCTTTTTAAGGGTATACAGTTATTGGCTGGATTTTGTATATATGCTTGTTATTCTTTCAGTTATACTTTAAATCTACCAATGTTAATTAAGTATCATGGTGTGAAAATAGTTGTCGCCCAATACTGGTTTGTACTGCCTATAGAGATAAGCCACTTACACAAGTTTATTAGAACACGTGTCATCATGCATGTCGTCAGCCTCTAAGAAACCGCCACATGTCTCTTCCTCCTGTTTTCTTTTTAATCGTAGTTTTTCTTCCTCCTGTTTTCTTTCTAATCGCATTCAAACATTAATGACATCCTAAATAACACTAATCGACGGTCCTATATATATATATCTGTGGTAGAGTTGACGAAAATGAAGGTGAACACTTTATCTCTTTTTGTTTTTTTTTTTTTTTACACAATCTAGTAAGTAATAACAAATTCTTTCTCAACAAGTTGTTGACCTACGAAAGTTGAGTCAACGGGTTTAAAAAGCTCTTTAAGGTACCCAAGAGCGTTTGGATGAGATGGCTTGAGTCTCTTTCAGCTTAACCAGTGGTCTCGTGTTCGAGCTTTGAGAATGCAGCAGTGTTAAAACTCTTGAGGGAGAGATTTGCCGCCCTTGTGGTCCTACCCGGCTCG